GCATACTTTGCTGGTACATTAGTATAGCTTGGGAGCTTACGGAGGTAATATCACTATGAATGTATTCATAACATCGAATCATCTTTTAGGTGGTTTTCACCAAACTCCTTCCTAACTTTCAAGAATGCTGGTGGGATGCAATCGTTTTGGATATACTCCTTTGCAATGGTTTGGGAATCTGGTTTGGTTTGAAGATATGCAGTTTTCTGCGAATGAGACAGTTCCATTGGGAAAGCATCAAGTGAGTCTATAACAAGCTGTTGGTATTTTCTTGTATTTTCCTATCTCAATGTGTTTCAGAGATATAAAATCACATCGTGGACGATTCAAACGCGCTGTGATGCAGTTTTTACCAGAAAGCTGGAGTGAGCTGCAGTGGTTCATTCCGAACGCTTTTAAGCGCACTGTGGCTCTTTACTTATTCGTTCTAATATGGCTGGTAAGTGTACTTACATGTGACGCTCGCTTTATTAATTCTCATACGCTTACTTTCAGCTCACGGAATTGAACACCTTCTTCTTGAAACATGTTTTTGCTGTAGACACAAAACATCCTTTTGTGTTTTGGCGGATCATACTTATCGCACTTATCTCAGCACCATCCATAAGGTATATATTGATATCTTCAGCATTGTTCACGACTAATCTGTCTACAGGCAATTCTACACCTACGCAACGGATCCGCTGGTAAAAAGGCTTGGCATGCAATGTTGGGTCTACTGTGCTGTAACGGCTCTTGAAGCTGCGATTTGTATCAAATTTGGACGAAGCATGTTTCCTGATGTTCCCGTATATCCTATACTTGGTTGGATCGGATTTTTGGTGAGCTCTCAGATGCGAATCAGATTCGCAACAAACCGGGATATATTTAAAAAGATTTAATTTCAGATAGTCGGAACCTTCTTTAGCATTTGGCTATCTGTGTTATGGGCGCGGTGGTCATCCGTATGTTTTATCGCTTATTCTCATGAATTATCACTAAAGCATCTTCTTTGCTTCATTACTTGAATCTCTTCACTGATGTTATTTAGGAGACAAAAGAGCTAAACGTTGATGGCGA